ATTGTCCGTGACGCGCAATCACCCCGTCGCGGAGCTGATGCACCATATGCGTGAAATCGCTCTGGGCAGCCAGATTTCTGCATGATTTTCCACAGTCCATCGCGATTCACGGTGTCGAAGGCTTTCCTCAGGTCTACAAAAGTAGTGTAACAGCGAGTCCGCATTTCCTGGCATTTCTCTTGTAACTGGCGGGCGATGAAGATCATGTCGGTGGTTCCGCGGTGGCTTTGGAACTCACACTGATTTATCGGCAGAGGTCCCTTTCCGAGATGGCCGCCGGGGCGTTTGAGGGAGACGCGAGCGAAGGTCTTCCCGACGACGCGTATTAGCTATATTTTTCTGTGGTCATCACAGAGTTTCCGGTTTCCTTTCCGCTCATAGAGCTGAACGATTGCCGCATCCTTGAAGTCCTGAGGAACTTGTCTCTGACGCCATATCTCCTGGAATAGCGTTGTGAGTTTATCCATGAGCTGGGGGCCGCTTTGCTTGTGGAATTCGACCGGGATCGCGCTGGCTCCCGGTGCTTTCCTGCTGGAGATTTAGTGCACAGCTCGGCTTTTTTCTGGGAGGGAAGACGGAAGATCCAGATCGTCGTTCGTCTTCACTTAAGGGAGTCGGTCGATGGCGGCGTCAGAGATTGTGGACGGGCGGTTGAGGACAATTCTGAGGTGCTGGGCCCAGCGCTTCAGAATCGTTGTTCCACGAGGCGGCGATAGCGGGAGGCCTCCTTGTTTGCGTCGACCGGGCGGTATATGTAGGCCCTATACAACCAATGCTTTTCAGCCAACAGGTTGTGGATGTTTGCGTCGTCGTAGAACCAGTTCTGATGTTGGCGACGTGCGCGTCCGAGGAGGTTTAAGGCAGTGGATTCGATGGTTTTCCGCAGTTGACACCACTGAGTCTACATTTGCGTTGTCGTCCGGGGCCGGCACTTCTTCGAGGTGCTGAGCTAATTGATTGCTGGAATGTAGGCGGTGAACAGACAAATGCAATAAAGCAGTATTTAATTTACCTGGTGGTCGCTTACCTTGTGGTCTCTTCCGGGATTGCAGTGGAGGTGCGTGATCTTGGACATGACGAGGCGGTGATCCGTCCAGCTGTCGGCGTCGCCTGCGTCGCGCCTCCCTGTCCTTGGACGGTCGCTCCAGAAGATGTAGCCAGCGCCAACCTCCTTCAGTTGGCCTTGCTTAGAGAATCGGGTCTTGCGGAGGGCAACGATGTCCGCCTTGCAGCGCGCCAGTTCTCATGCGACTAGCGCCGCCTCCTGTTCCGGCCGCTTGCGCCTCGGTTATTCTAACAGAACGAACATTCTAGACTGTCAGATTAAGCAGACTCACCTCAGCATCCGGTGGAGCGGTGCGGAGGGGAGGTTGACGAGGGTGATTGTTGTTTATCGTGGTTTTTGACCGCGATTTTTGCGTCTACGAGTCCCGGTATATTAGCGGACAATGTGATTTTCCGCCATTTGTTTAAGGCGCATTTTCTAACCTCTTCACCAAACGTCGGGTAAGCAGTGCCATCCCTAAATAAGGCTGCTAAGACATCCCAGACGACTGCCGAGCCTCACTATGAGTCATGACCTTGTTTAGTGGAAGGGCGACCCGAGTTAGTCTGAGTCGCCTGCAGGATTTCATGTCGCCCTCTGCCCCAATTTAACCCCAATTTATTGCTTGTATTTCAGGAAAATCAAAGTCTGGAACCTCAAAGCCGCACTTAACTCCAGATCCCGCACTAACCAGCTGTGCATGCTAACCCTCCACCAGCACACTGGTCGCGTCTTCCGTCTGCAGTTCGACGACTTTCAGATTGTCTCCTCCTCGCATGACGACTCGATCATCATCTGGGACTTTGTCAGCCCGACCGTGGGCCAGGAGGAGTGCGACGATGGTTTTGCAGACGCGCCCTGGTGTGGCCAGCCAATGCACAGTGGCACCAACCAAAGTACAAACCCGGTGAACCTATCCTCAGCCATGACGACTGAACCAACTGGTAACGCGATGGGTCCTGGAGACAATGAACACGACTCCGCCTCTCAGGATAACGGCAGCATGTCACGGGGCTTCCCGCAACACCGCCAGGAAATGGATCGGCGACAGCAACACCATGAGTTCATTGGCACCAATGGTGATCGCATGAATGACCTTTCATCCTCTTCGCCCTCGCCAGATCATGGGCACTGAAGTATGCCTGGCTCTATTGTTCAGTACCACTGTTGTCACCGGTCTACGCACCACAACTTGTCCATACACCCTATTTCCCCCACCCCATCTCTAGCCTTCGCTTCACTGCAGACCTGCTTGTTTTCTATCCGCTCCCTGTACGTCCTCCCGCAGTCATTTCTGGTCACGTTTTCTCTCGCATATCGCATTACGAATGAAGATGGGGTTCGCATCTTCCGCACATCCGCGCTTTTCTATTGCTCAGGTAACATTTGTGCACGGATTTATTCTATCAACGCCCGTTCACGTCTCTAAAGCAGCAACGACAGTTCAACAGATTTTATTCCCCACTGTCCCCTTCCTCCTCCTCCGGGCTGGGATTTCCGCCAGCGTAATGTAACAGTCGGGTTGTCCGATTAGTCTGCATCGCTGGAACAAGAGCTTTATTTGCCCGATCTCTTAAAATCGTACTTGAGTCCATCGCCAGAGGGGACAACAAACCAAAACAGCAGACGCACGGGGATGCAGTGTTTATTGCCTGGAGTTGCTACGCAACAGGTTGCCTAGCAAATCCAACTGGTAATAGCAGTGGCCACTACGACCATCCACATTAAATGCTAGGCGACCGGTGACTCAAACAGAGCATACTCGGACTGTCACTGCTCACCAACATCCGTTGCCTGGATGGCTGCCGGCTGTTTGGGTTACTCAGTCATGCCTTAGACCGGGAGTCCTGCTGCAACGCCCCGTCC